TGTAACAGGCTACCTGGGCTCCTCTTTTATAGGGGTGGTCCAGTTTTCTTCTATAGTGTTTTTGCAATAATCTGATTTGCTCTCATAATTGTATGAGAATAAACACACAATTAGGTTGCAGTGGAAGATGTGTAGGTCTTGCTTGTGTTCAAAGCTGAAAGGCATGGTGAAGCAACAGCAAAACTAACACAAAAACAGACTGCCCTGAAGGCATAGTATTAAAAAAAAGGAAAAGAAAAAAGAAAAAGTCCAGCTTTGCTCTGGGTTCAAGTAAACTGGCACAAAGTCAGGAAAAAAAAAAAATCAGCCTTAAAACAAACCAACTTTCCCAGGAGCTGCTCTGGAAATGATACAGTGTGGAAAGCCAGAGAGAAAGCTCAACTAAACTACAAAATTTGGTATCATAAGATGTAGTGATGACCGCCAAATTAAAAAGTGCCTGGATGCTTTATTGGAATGTTATTGCTACTACTCTGGATGGCTTTCCATCAACATGTCTCTGAATGCCAATCAGTAGAAGACAAATGGAGAGCAAGAGAAGAATTGTAGACCCTTATTGCATCAATAAGTATTACTGAAGATGTCTAAATAACTTAGTATACACTTAAGTATTGCTATATTAAATTAGCAATGATGAATAGGTATTATTTGACCACTCATTTAATTTTTACAAAATAATTCTGTATTCACAGCTGGTAGGTACTGCTTTTAAGTAAACCATTCTCACTTCTTTTTCCCAATCATTAAGTGACAAGGAAAGGAAAGGAAACTATTTTATTAATCTGTTTTAAAATAGCAGTGGCACATCCACTTGACATGTAATATATGTATTCACTGGTAATGCATCAGGATCATACTTTTTTAAAAAAATAAGCTTTATCCTTTCCAAGTCTTTGCAAAGCGGCTATCAAGTCAGAGCTAACATGAAGTTGCTGGAGTAAGAATCATTATTATCTGAAGCAGAGGAAAGAGAAGTGCTAAAAGCAGAGGAGTAACAGAACATTTGGCTATTTTAAGCAGCCTTGTTACCCTTACTGGAAGCAGTTCTCTCGAAATAATTTTTTCAGCCCAATCTGGAAATGCTATGGATTGGGTTTAGGAACTTCTGTCACTGAATTACGGCTGTTTCCATGGAAGCAGGTGAAGAGCTCAAATGTGCAAAAAAAAAAGAGAGCAACAAAAAAGCACATGCAAGTTACAAGAGAGGTGGCAAAGCTGAATCCTACCATATTGTTCACAATCATACCACACTGCCTGTTTATAAGCAAATGACAACAAACCAGAAGGACCAGCAAGTTCAGCAGCAGAGACTTTTAAAATATATTGGGTTTTTTGTTCAAGAATGCATCTCTTTTAGCTTACAGATTTTTGATGAACCTGAAGAGAAATCTCAGCTGTTGGCAGCTGGATGTTTTGCTTCAACTATTTTTTATATCACTATATTTGTGCCTGCCCTAAAGGAAAACTTAAATAAATTGTACGACCATTGGAGAGGAAAACACAATTGGTTCCAGAAAAATGGCAGAGAACATTCACTTCATTTTACAAGTAAACAGAACTGGAAAACATTCCTGGCTTTTAATGAATAACCATTAAATGAATTGTTATAATGAATATATAGCTGCCAGCCATGATAAACTTCAGTGGTACTTCGTCCAACAGTCAAAGGGTGAATGTTCTGCCCAGAAAGTATAATCCAAACATTTACATTCATTGTCTACAGCTGCACCTTTTAGAGTCAGTGAAGACTAGGAAGATTGAATAAGGAAAGGATGCTACATGAAGAAACATCGCATTTCCAATAAAGCTTGTGTGAAATGAACTAAAAAAAAAATATCAAGTCATCCTATCACTCAAGCATGCTGCGATAGTCTAGACAGAATATGATCAAGGCATGGAAAACTTGCTCAGGAATGATTACAGCTCACACAAAAGTGACCTGTAAATTCATTAAAAACTGAGGCTTAAAGAAAATACCTTGAATGTGGATCTACTCTTTCATTCACATGGCAAACCCATTCAAAACAGGCTGAACCTCATTGTTCCAATCTGATTTCTTACTGACCAACACCACTTGTCTTGTCTGAATTTAACTACAGCTTGTTCTTATCCACCTGATTAGTAGCTGATTTGGAAAGTAATAAGTAATATGTTGGGTGTCAACAACCTACTGTCGATATCCAATGCCAATGTTCCAAATGATGTTTCCAAACATGTTTCACATACACATTGAACAATATGGTGACGAGATGAATTATTATAGGATCACAGATCAACAGCCTAGATGTCGAACAGCAATTGCCCACCATTTCTTTTATGGAATGGAAGACAAGGTCAGACATGGTCTGACAAGAACACAGTGCCTCTGAAGCCAATCCCATCAGATGATCTGAAAGAATGCTGAAAACAATGGTGCTGAAAGCTATTAAGTGGTTCAGGAAAACTAGCGGGGCTGCACTGTCCACATCTAATTTCTAATTTAGGTCATCTACCTAGGTTACTGCAAAGGTCTCAGGAACTTATCCCAGCTGAAAGCCCAATAGAAATTACTCCAACATTGTCTTACTGAAGATTAACCGGCTAAAGACAGTGAAGGCACAATATCGCCCTATAATCTGTTGCGTATTTATGCAGTAGAAAATAAATGTGTTTGGCCTATTATGTCTTGTATAAATGTAGCATATTGTCCTGGTCTTGTCTTTGCATATACCTGCTCAGTTAACACATTTTTGGCATGGAAATATCATCACTATGTGATTTCTGTCATTTTGCAATTGGCACCCATTTCTCAATACAATACATGAACTCAGCACTAGTTTCCTTGAACTATTTTATTTTAGACTGTATTTAAAATCCTTACAAATTTAGGATTTATTTGTTGAAATTATGCAGGCACTGTCAGAAACCAGTATTTGCAGTGCAGGGATAGATTCCATGCTCAGTGTTTCTGTTTGTAAAAAGAAAAGGGGGAAAAAAGGTATATTCCAGTCCTCACTTACCTTCAAGAATTAAGCTTCTCTTTTAAGGCAAGATCAGTACCCAGTGTGTAATGATGAACAGAAATGAGGCCCAGAGCTTTGGATGTCTTATATCTATGCAACACTTTTGTTTCCTTTCATGTTGTGGGCAAAAGGTTTCTTTGCAATGCTAGTCCCCCCTCCCCTCTCCAATTCTTGACTGCATTGCTCGTGAAATGGAAATCCCCTGAGCATGTCAAAGAAGGAAACTGACAAGTCACTCTCTGGTGTCACACTATGTATAGTTCTTCCTTCCCCTTTTCATTTCCATATGAAACCTTTTGGTGGAACAGTATGTTATTAAAATAATTTATTGTCCTGTGGTAAGTATTTACTCCTTGGACAATATTTCTAACCCCCAGTTACTAAGAATAAGAAACTCTGCAGGATGGCAGAACAGAAAGTAGCATTGAAAGGGTGTTGGCTTAAAACAAAAATGTAAGGTATGACCAGATGAAACTGCTATTGCTTTTTTTAGTTTCAGGCTTCTAATAACATTATTTATAAATTTCATGTGCCATATCCAATTCAGGATCAGATTTATCCAGAACCACTGTGACTGATAAATACACAGGCAAAAATAATTTCTCTTCCTTTGAGGAACCAGCAGTAGTTTTCTGGTAGAATTCATATGAAAGATCCCAACTTTATGGCATCTATAGATAAGATTAGAAACAACTAACTGAACAGCTGCTCCTTGTCATTGTTTTGCAAAACTGGGTCTAAGTCATATAATCATTATATTGAGTATCAGTTATTTGAATTGGTCAATGTATCTGCATTTAAGTCAAAGAACTCAATAGCGCCCTGTGGGATAGTATCATCCCCACTGAAGTCTGTGTGGCCTCAACTCTGCTGTTGCTCAACATTACTGTTTCAACATATGCAGTGATGTATTCCTTCAGTTTCGATCTTTCTTTCCCTGATAGAGTAATATAGAGTTTTATTGTTTGCTGCTGTTTCCTGTATGTTTGAATATTTTAGTATGTTGCACATTGATGCCAGTTGCTTGAATGATTATGGTACTTTGTAAGATGGATGGATGGATGCATATAAATAAATGTAAATAAATAAATAAAGCAAGCAAGCAAGCTACTTACCTGGTTTTTCCAAGTTGCAATATTTGTGCTGCATTATCAGATTAAAAGTCGTTAATTGGCATGAATTTTCTTGCTGTTTAGAAGGTGGTAGAGGGAATCAGTTCTACTTTTGAATGGCAATTCGCACGTACATTCAACTAACTGAGCCTGGATATAATATTTTGCTTTGAATTCTGTTGGAATCTATGATCTATCAGTTATTATTATCCACTCAACATTTTTTCCCAGACCAAGACACTGGCCAATGATGCTTCAGTCCATATGTTCCTCAGGGTGAAATGTTTTCAACTGAACTCTTATGTAAGAGCCATTCTGCTACACACTTCAGTTGCTCAAAGTATGTATTTAATTATCACTAATGAACTACACTGAGCAATTATAATTCTGTTAGAAGTTTGTGGCCAGTGAGGTTGTGTTTATTCAGATATAAGCTTCTGCTGACAGAATAGGTTTATTAACTTAAGTTGTCCTCATAAGAGTATTTTTAAACTTAGTTGTCAACCAGGTTATTAGTCAGGAGTTTTCAAACTTTGCAGTCTCATGACTCTTAAAATGAAAAACTTGTACAGGCCTCTCCCATGAATAAAACTAAAGATTTAATTGGATCAAGCAAGAAATGTACTACTTACTTTAGTAATTAAAGTTTATGTTACATATCAGATAAAACAAAAATACAGCAATTATATTTTATGAAACAATTTTACAAATAAAAATGTTTCATAATAAACAAAGAGTAGAAAATCCAGTACAATTGAAAACAGTATTTCCAATGGGAAGGATAAGCTTACTTACTCTGGGATAATTCCTGGAATCTTGGTTTTATTCTGAAAACAGCTATTCTCATTTACCAGTGTCAGGAAAAAAAGAAAAAAAAAGTATTTCCCTACCTTAAATCAGCTTCTCTTAAATTACTATTAAATTTAATGGGGATGATGTAGGATTCCCCCCCCCCCCCCC